GTCCGAGCAGCGTTTATTTATTTATAAACTACTATTACTATTTATTATTTATAGACAGTGTGGGGTATACATAGGGGAGTTGTTCAGCACTGAGATCAGATCGGGGATCTCGTTGAATTGTATTGGAGTTCAAGTATCTAGTTATTGGAGTAGTGGAGTTTTACTGCGTTATTGTACTTGATGTTTGCAGAGCATAATAATACCAGTACCAGTTGAAACCTCATCTGTTGGCTCCGTGTTCGTATGTTATCATCGCCGCCAGGGAAGTCTTTATGTTACTGTTGCCATTTTGGTATTTGAACCATCACACCTGTACTATACCAATTACGGTAATATTACGTTGCGTGTGACAAAACCTATTGTGAAAAATAACAATAAAAAACTTCTATCTACAAATAGCAGAAAACCCATCCACCAACATCATACCCCTTGGTCTATTCAAACAATATATAGATAAAATAATAAATTCATATCCAGTCAACTCAAAATATAGCACGCAGCACACCACACCACACAAATAAAACTGATTAGACCTTTGACCTGCACATTATGGTCAAAGTAATTGCACTACCATTATAAACAACAAAAACTCAAAATCATTCCAAAGCACATACCAATTCTCAACACTGAATTATTATAATTATAATTATTATTATATAATTCTTCATTCCTCACATTCCTCATAAAAGAATCGTCACCACATTTCAATACCAGAATATACAACTTTAAATGGATTTCAAATACTCCAATTCATATCGTAACTGTACCTTCAGTGGCAGATATACAACAATATAAATGCTGTGTGTATAATTATTTAACTAGCGACTCATTCACTTTATTGCATAAACATCTTATAATGCTAACATATGTGTATTGGAGCAATGTATTACACAAGATAAACTGATTGTTGTTAATTTGAAAATATACCATGACGTGTCAAGGTATTCAAGAGATTAATATTATTTAGTACTTATCAGAGCAAACAGTAATTTGCATTAAAGTAGAGATGCAGTTTACCTGACAGGCATTTTAATTAGTTAATTAGGAAACCAAAACTATATATTTTCGGAAAGCTTATTGTATA